TATATATATATATATATATATGTATATATATATATATATATATATACTGAATTAAAAGATGAAAATGGATGAAAGTAAATTTAGTAATTTGAACATTTTTTTAGCAAAAATTAATTCAATAATTACTCAATTAATTTTATTTTGTGTTGTTTCAAAAGAAAAAAACTAAGCATTGATGGTAAAAAGCTGAATTTTTGTTTGCTTGCTTATTTATTTCTTTTTTTTCTAATTTCATTTTTATACAGTTTTCTAATTTTTATAATATATTTTAATTTGAAACAAATAGATCGTTTTTTTCTTTTTTTTGTTTTTTTGAAAAAAAAATTATACGTACAATAATTTTAAGTTAATTATTTAATTGCTTTCTCTCTTATCATTTAACCATCAAAAATCACACAATTAATGAAATGAATTCAGATGCAGAAAAATAAGCTAGCAGTAAACAGACGCAGAAAAATAACTTAACAGTAATCTGGCGCAGAAAGACAACTTAACAGTAATCTGGCGCAGAAAGACAACTTAACAGTAGTAATCTGGCGCAGAAAAACAAGAAAAACAAGCTAACAAGTGATCAGGCGCACAAAGACAAGTTAACAATGTGTCATTTAGTTCTTTGATAAATTTCTTTTTCCTTTTTTTTCTATTGGAATTGTTTTTTCATTTAAATTTCGTCTTTTTTAAATCTTATTTTACTTAGTATTTTCGTCGTTTAGCTTAAAGTTTTCTTTTAAATGATAGCACATTGAATAGTGAAGAAAGGAAAAGAAATTTTAATTAACGATAAAATTTTTGAAATAAATTTATAAAATTTAAAATGCCATTAAGTCGATTGTTAATAATAGCAATAATTTGCAAATTAATATCTTTCATCTTTTTAATATTTTAATTACTTTAAAACATTATTATCTGTTCCTTCTTTTCTTTTTTGTTTTTCTTTTGGAATCTTTTCCAATTTTCTCTTAATTTAAATTCAAATTTTAATGAACAAAAGTTGTTAATGTTAATGATAACTAATATTTTTGCTATAAATTTCATTTCAAGAAGTAATGGCAAGAAAAGAAGAAAATAAATTAAAATGTAATCATTAAAATTGCGGGAATTGAAAAATCACAACAATTATTGGTATTATAATAAAATTGATGGCATAATTATTTGTAAAATTTCAACTTTTAAATAATTCAAAAAATTTTTTCCAAAACTAAGCTGTAATCAAATTTTAATTAAATAATACCTATTTATTATCCAACATCTAATCAATGAGTTCATCATGATACTTACAAAGTAACTTTTTTCTTTTTCAATTTTTATCTCACTATTTCAAATTGGAAACAAAATTCTATATTGGAATAATATAAATAAAATGAATTTTAATCAAGTAATGCTCATTTGTTTTCATTTAAATAAATTCATTTCAATAGTTACTGGTTTAAAAAATTTTCCATCATTCCTAATATGAAAATGACAGATAACAGTAATTTGCAGTTAATTAATTAGTCAACCCTTACATTCATTTATTTTTCAATATTTAAATCCAAAAAATAATGTCATTTAATTACAAAACTTCTTTTTCAATCCATTAATTTTCTGTTTACTAACAATTTCACTCATTTTTTTTACCATTTGCAATGCATTACTTTTTTATTCCCTTCATAAACATTAGTCAGGTGACACAGATGTCATTTAGCATGTATGTATGTATGTATGTATGTATGTATGTATGTATGTATGTATGTATGTAGTATGTATGTATGTATGTACGTATGTATGTATGTATGCATGTATGTGTGTATGTATGTATGTATGTATATATGTTTATGTATATGTAAGTATATATATATATATATATATATATAGTATATATATATATATATATATATTATATATATATATATATA